CAGGAGCACCAGTCGCCCGCTAAAGGGAAGCCCCAAATCTTTGTCCTGCCTAGCCTGCAGCAATTTGGATGTTTGAGACACCCTGGATGGCACAAATGTACCTCAAAGTTACTATCCTGTTCCAAACCTGAAATGCACCCGCACCAGCTCAAAGGGGGAATCATTACCCATGCGCTTGACATGTCGCCCCTCCCAAAACCAAATTTGAAAGCTGGCTGACGGTCCTTGTGTTTTTTGGGAGGGCGCACGCGTCATTTTTCCAGCCTTGCAGATTTGCATTTGGACAATTTTCCGTCTCGAGCCAAAACGGTGAGATGGCTACAGCTCCACAAGTACATTCAGCAACGCCTCGGCTTCTGCTTGGTGGACAAGTCACACTGGAAAAGGTGTATGCCCCTGTGGATGGCTGTGCCCTTCTTGAGCACTGTTGCACTTGGTGGGGAGTGCGCTAGGGCTCCCTAAGCCTTCCCTGGGCCTCCAAAAGTGGCAGTCGACACCACGGCGAATGAATCGCAGGCCAAGTACCTGAGCAACCGGGAGGAGATGAACCAGGCCCTGACCAACTTCACAGATGCCCACAACAGCCTCATCCAGAATAAGGATGACTACATGAACAACCAGCAGCTCGGCCAAATCGAAGGGGCGGATGGTTAGCGGTCCACAAGATTGAGTGTTTGCTCGGCTGACCTGGGGCTGGCTTGCCATATCGATGGTCAAGGTATTCATAGCAGGGGTTCATGTTCAAGATGGGAATGACATTGCCGGGCATGCAGTTTGAACGCATTGCTTTGGACCACCTCTTTCTTGGACCCCTGACAGGAACCTATCACTTTGGATTTGGCTGATTGCACACAGACAACCAGATTCAGTTGCAAAGCTTGGCCCGCGGAGACAAAGTTGCGGCCATCACCAACAGTCTTGGCTCCCAAAAATCGGAAGGTTGGCCTTTGCCGTGGGCTTCGAAGCATCTGTTCCAAAGCCATGCAAACCTTGAGAGGGTAAGGAACAGACGCCAGGTGCAGCACTTTATTGACATGAAAGGGGCCCTTCTGGAATGGATTAAGTCAACGCAGGCCGCAAATCATGGGCTAAGCTGAAGATGCAAGCCTTTCATACGCATCTGGCAAACTGCATTTGAAACCCAGAGCACCGCCTGCAGCGTTAAGACCCCTGAGGGGGCCCCATGTCAACTTTCGCTTCGATCCATCCCTCGGAGTCAGGTAGAGCAAGTCGGTCCATTTGACGCACTCCCAAAACCAGCCACTCCCCTTTGCGCTTGAAAGTGACCCAGACAAGCCGAATCACTTCGAGGAATGGGGTCTTGTCAGCATGGGAATATGTCAAAACCAAGGAGACCTCCAACTGTTGTTTTATGCTTAGTATCAGTATAAACGCCTAAATATATCAATAGTTTACACATGATCATGAGTAATTCCAATAAGGTTTCATGGTGCCCCACAACCGCAGTCTAGTTGTTTAGACCCTTGCATGTGTTTCGACAAGGATCCAACTGCTGTTCAACATCCTTGCCTAGGATGAACTCCTGGAACCGCTACTTCTTCGAGGACAATCGCTCCCGGCAGTATCACCGGAACCGCCAGCGTGCCCGGTGCCCCGGGAGGTTCAGAAACTCCTAGGTTGGTGGTTCCCTAGCATAACCACCAAGCCAAACTACCAGGGGATAAAATGACTGGGCAACCAAGGGAGGCAATTTGTCCTATGAAGAGAAGGTGTTCAATCTGGAACCCGGGCAGGGCGCGGGGCTTACACTTCGGCTCATTTGACAGGCCAATCCTCCCGAATCGGGACAAGACTGCCCGTCATGAAAAAAGTCACGTGCTTGGAATCAAATTGACGTTGTGTGGGAGCGGTGGAGGGCTTCTTGCAACCGGTGCTTGGGTTGCAAGCGACGGCCTTGATACCGAACATGTGCCTTTCATAGGGATGCCTAATGCTGATTTGTAGTTGGCCATGAGTTTATCATGTTCATACCTTTTAACTCATTTGTGTGTGTGATACCCGCCTCTGTAGGCGCTCCTCCATGTTTGGCATGTTTTTTCCTTGCAAGTCCTTGGGCTTTGGAGCTCGAGGTCATGGACATCCGGAAGGTCATCGAGGAGTGCCGGGTAGAGATCCAGGCGGCCTCGGAGGATGGCAACGAGTACGATGAACCTGATGGCGGGAAGGGGGGGAGGGCGGGAGTTGGGGGGAGTTGGGGGGAGGGAAACATGACACCCACTTGGTGTTAAGCCGAGTTGCTTGTAGCAAAGCAACCCCCCCTCCAAAAGAAAGAGAAATAAGGAACAAAAAGCATGGGATGGTGGGAGATGGATGTTTTTTGTCCCCTTGCTCTGCTTGAGATGGCGCGTGCCATTCAGGCAACGTATCATTCTAGCAGATTCTAGCATGCGTTTGTCCCACTGCAAGCAAACCACACTACGAAAGACTATGCCCCTAGTACCCTCGGGTTTGACCGCATGCTTGAGCTCAACGAGGGGGCCTGGCCAAGCTTGGCTTTCAGGGATGCTTCACCTTTGGTGGTTGGACTTGTGGCTTCGGGGCTTCATCCCCTCGTGAAAAATAGAAGACAGCTGGCCAGTGGCAATGAAAGGGGAGGTGCATGCACATGTACCCGGACGACAGCCTATGAGCCTTTGCTCATTGGTTTTCATTCGGCACACTTGTGGCCGGCTTCGGCGGAACTGACCTGCAGCGGACGTCGGACACATGAGGTGGTCATCACCCGAGCAGGCATAGCAGCTTAAGCAAGATGGTTTGGGACGATTCAAGGCCATTGTGCAGGTTTCTTGTGGCTGATGTTCAGTCTTTCTTGCGCAGAATTGTGTAAGTATTGTTGAATATCAAACCACGAGAGATCATGTTGGACAAGCACGACGCAAAGTTCATCCTAGGGGCCAAACCAACCTGGAAGCATACGTGAAATGGCAATGGAGACAAAATATGCATGCGATATCCTGCATACCAATGTTCCCCCACCTGAAGCCAAATCAGGCTCCTCTGACTGTGAGGCACTTTCCACCACTTGGCTCAACCTTTGCAGCCAGCTTGAGATTTGTCAACCCTGTTTGCAGCAACTAATGATGCCACACATGTTTTGAGCTTGTGGCTTTCCACTCGGCCATTGCAAAGGCCGCAAGCTCGCATAGGGAGTATGTGCCCATGAAGCCTCAGCTATTTCGATCTCCCCGGAACTGACCCTCGGACCACGCCGGGACAACTATATTACGCAGAGTGAATCAACCCCTTGATTTATACGTCCCATGTTAGAGAGGCCCAAATAGTCCACCAGCTCAATTCATCCGAGGTCAACATAAACATGAAAGGCAGCCATTCGGAGCAATCGCTGTCGGAAACCCAGCTGATTGGTCCCTTTGGATTCCATAAACTCAGCGGCATCTCCTTGCGGGCTAGTCTCCCTCAGCTTCCGTTGGCAAGGAATGCTTCTTACTTCCCCCCCAACGAATTGGAGCCAATGGCTTTGAGACCCCTTCGCACTCGAGAAGCCTTCCGAACCCGCCAGGTCCGGACTCGCCCGTCTATGGCCGCTAGTGCAAGCGGCCCCACGTCTCCGCGGGAAACCCGTAGCCGAGTTATCCAATTGGCTAGACGGAGACTGCGCTCAAAAGCCGCTGGCGCAGTGCTAAGTTCGACAACATGGGGGGGATTTAGTGAGTAAGTTGCCGTGGAGACGCGGGGGCCTTCAAATTCCAAGTGTCACAGGAACTGTGCTGACAACCCTTGACTGCGGCACGAAAAGCATGGTACACCCGGGGGGGAGGTGGGCTCTGATTTGGTGGCAGCTTTGGTGGGCTGATTTGGCGGCTGTCCCACGCCAAAAGCGACACGTGTCATGCACAGTGAATGCAAATTCCGCATGCCGCAGCGTGTTTTCTTTGAGAAAGTTTGTTTATGTGTTGTTGCCTTGTGGGCGCACAATTTGTTTAACCAACCCGTTAAGTGGTTGTCTTCAAAATCACTTCCCAAGGTCGGGATGGGGTTGGCGTGTGCACGCTTGATCCTCGAAGGCGTCACTTGCCTGCGTGATTGGTGTTTGCTCAGGGGGGCTGGCTGGGACGAGTGAATCAGGGGTCAGACTAATTTAGCCTTATGTGAATCCACAGCTGAGGGCGCGCTGCTGCCAGCAGCTAGCATCTTGCCTTCGAAACAAAATTTTAATTAATGCAAGCGCCCCAAGCCGCTGAACTGATTGACATTCGGGATGAACGCAGGACGCGCATTCAATCTAACCGTTTTGGCAGCCCAAACCTGAGTGTTGACCCTGTGTCGAAAGTCAAAACACCCAGGCATGTGTTTCAGAGGAGTGAGAATCTGGACTTTAGACTTGTTGGGAAGCTCATCTTGGTGGAAAAGAAACAGCATAGACTTGTTTTGGCAAATCTAAAGTGAGACACCAAAGTTTATTGTCTACTCCCAGTAACTATAATCGTCGCGACGGCGAGTGGCAACAGGTGGAATCCGGTTGGGCGGACGCCTGAAGGGGGGTGGGGGGAGAGCGCGGGATTCCCATGGGCAATCCCACGTGTGTTGTTTCTCACTGTTGGACCCAGCCCTGAGAAAAAAAAGGAAAACAAAACACTAAACACAGTTGGATCTGTCGCTTTTTGTCGGTTTCAGATGGAAACAATCCTAGCTGACTTTGGGCTGCTTCGTTTAGAACACAATAGTTGTTCCCCATTGGACTCCTTGGGCGGCCCTTTTAAGGGAAACCCCTTCCCGTAGGAAGCGATGCCGTTTCTGACAGGTCCCCCGCATATTGTCAAGCGTGCGAGCACATCCCCGCGAGATTCCTGGCACCTCTAAATCATCGACATGTCAGGGCTTTCTCCAAATGGACCACCTGTTGGTTACTTCAAGGGAGGCACGAAACCAACCTATGAGAAGCCTATGGGAAACTCCTCAAAGAGGCCCATTCCCCTATGAGAATCCGAGCCCATACGCCAATTTTGTGGCGTGTGCAGGTCTGGGCGGCCCTTGGGCGCCCAGGGCACGCAGTTCCTGTTGCGCTGCTGTGCTCGCGCCAGTGCCTGGCAGAGGCGAGTGGCGACATCGGGGGCGGGTGAATGCATTTTATATGGAGATCCAACCATGCCACGAATTTGTTTCACAAACAGTGGACAGAAAAGGACACATCTAAAAGTCTGAAAATACACCTTCCGGAAGGCTGGTTGATTCAGGAAAGAGGGTTGAAAGGGAAGGCTGGGGATTGGAGAGTGAAGAGAGTAGGGGGGTTGGAGAGTAATTCAGGGATGACCATGAATTCTTCGCCTTGATGCGCAGGGAAGATCAATGTCACTTTTCGGGGCAACATCCTCATCGGCCGGGTTGATGAATCCAGCTCGGCATTGCTCGGTTTTTGGATTCAGGCTGATTTAAAGAGGGGGAAACTATTTTTACTTGGTCTGCTTGGTTCTTGGCTCTGGTTCTTTGGCTGGGTGGGTGGCTGGCTGGCTGGTTGGTTGGTTGGTCGGGGTTGGTTGGTTGGTTGGTTGGTCGGTCGGTCTGTCGGTCGGTCGGTTGGTTGGTTGGTTGGTTGGTTGGTGCTTTGGCTGCTTGGTTGGTTGGTTTTTTGGTTAGCTGGCTGGCTGGCTGGCTGGCTGGCTGGCTGGCTGGCTGGTTGGTTGGTTGGTTGGTTGGTTGGTTGGTTGGTTCTTTGGCTGGCTGGCTGGCTGGGTGGCCGGCTGGCTGGCTGGTTGGTTGGTTCTTTGGCTGGTTTGTTGGTTTGTTGGTTGGTTGGTCGGTCGGTCGGTCGGTTGGTTGGTTGACTGTTTGGTTGGTCGGCTGCATCCCCAGCAGGTTCTAAACCTTGTACATCAATGTGACACTGTGAGAAGAACGAAAGTGGCTTTCATTTGAAGCACGTCCTTTGGTGGGTGGCTTTGGCAGAGGGGCCGAGGGGCGTAGCCCGTGCCACAGGGAGTGATGCTTCTGTTGATTCGGTTCATGCCTTTTTGCCGCCGCCTTCGGGTCTTTACCCGGTCGACCTTTGACCTTCTCTTTGTTTCGTTTGAACGTCAAGGCCTGCAGGTTTTTTCCTTCCGAGCCTTTTGCTTCCATTACTCTTCTCAGAACGGAAGAGAGGGAGGTTTGGCTCGGACCGCTTGCTGAGGGCCTTAAACCTGGCAGCCAGTGCCAACGTAGCAGGCGGACCCGAAGGGCAGGGAGGGATGTGCGACGCAAGAGACGTGAGGGGTCAGAAGGAGGGCCCGTACTTGTGAGTTGCAAGTATGTATTGCGGGTGCTTTGCTGGGAGCGACGAAAAGGGGTCTGACGAAGAGCAGGCTCACACAGATGATTAATGCAGTACTTCCGAGCTTTGCTCACGCAAGTGGTCATGAAAGCGTTGGTGAGCGGTGTTCAGCTGCAGTGGATGCTCCTCATGAGTGAGGGTGTCATGAATCAGCCTGGCGATGTGCCCAATGCACTGCAGTTGATTCGAATAGCAACTTACATGATGAATCAACGTTCTTCGCGCGCAATTCGTGAATGATTCTTAGTTTATTGGACTCGTGACTGGTGGCAGCATTTGCTTTTCCAGTTGTGTGGGATGGAACTGTTTCAAGCTGAAAACTGCGAAGAACCTCGTCACCGTTCTTGTTGTTTTTTCTCTCTCTGTTTTTTCCTGTGGCTTTGCTGCGTGGAGATCAGGGAGCTTAAAAAACTGTTTGTTGCTGACGTGGATTTGCAAATCTTGGATTGGTTTTTCACAGGCAAGCAACACGAAGTAGGTTGGGGCACTTTCGCGGATGGTGTGTCAGGGGAGTTGCGCCCCAGTCTGCCACCATGACAAGCCAGGACGTGCAGAAGCAAATGTAGTCAGTTGGATCCCTGCCCCGTCAAACTGGGAGCGACCCCTTCAGATGCTTTTAATTTGGGACGCGAATCTGTGGCTGCCAAAAGTCAGTCTACCCCTCGGAAGCTGAACCTCAGGTCGGGCTCACACGGTGGACTCCTGCAACCGCGCAGGCTCGCTCGCGAGACCTTGTTTCCCCTTTCTTGGGGTCTGAGGTTCCTTCTGTGGCATGCGGTTCTGAAGGAGCTCCCTGAACCATGCGAGAATCGAATCTTTCTTGGAAGTAACAGTAGGCTGGCCTCAACCCTTGCCTTTCTCGAATTTTTTGCCGAAGCAGAACGAATGAAGGGTTCCCCGTTGATATTCCGTCCATTGAAGGTTGCAGCGTTTGGCATTTTGTTCACTTGCATTGGACGGATTTGTCACTTCGTGTTGAATCACGGTTGGGGTCCATCATGTTTCTCCATTGAGGGAGGCAGTGTCCAATTGGTGGAGTGCCGGGCACCCCTTTGCTCAGCTGCTTGTGACTGTTGAGACGGCGACAGCTTCAGTCAGTTGCCCTCCAGAAAGGTTTTCTTTAGGCGCAGCCGGGCTTCAGCATCGCGAGCTACATTGGTCGACCCTTGCAGTTCATCGTTTGCCTTACTCGTTTTGATTGGTAACTTTTACTTCTCCAAGTGCTCGGCATACAGGCACGGGAATCATGTCATCAACGTGCCCTGGCCGGTCAGAGGGGCCAGCCAGGCAAGGGTTCCCCCGGCAGAGTTTTGTAGGCCCGCGAGGAAAGATGTTCAGCAAAACTGAAGCAGCAGCAGCAGCAGCAGCAGCAGCAGCAGCAGCAGCAGCAACAAGAGCAACCACCGCAACGACAACAGTGACGGCGGCGGTAATGTTGCAGTGGAACTGTTGTCAAGGTTGTTTGAGCCTCTGGCTTTTGCAGAGAGAAGCCGATCTAGGAGATGGTGGTATGTGCAGTGTCACGCTTTGTCACATCAAAGGTCAAGCCTTTCGAGCTCCTTTGCGCTCTTTTGGAGTGTCTTCTGCGCGGCCGCCGCTTGGCAGACACAAACTCTGGGATTTTGGGATCAGCCGGCCTGGAATTCTGAACACCGTTTTGGCGTTTTGCCCATCGTTTTACTTGCCCAAAGCCAACCTGTGCATGTCGTCGGTGTCCCAGTGCCAACGCAATTGAACTCATGGCCTCTAAATCCAGCTTATAAAGGCTCCTTTAGACGGAAGCTTTATAATTAAAGCAGCCTTTATAAGAGCCTGTAGAAGCAAGTGTAGAAAATGTAAAACCCTCAAAACCCTGGAAATGGATGGTTTCACAAATTCTACACTTTATAAGGGTTCCTTTATAAAGGCTCCTTTAGAAGGAAGACTCCAGGTCTAACGGACATGGGTAGCCCGAAACCCCTATGACGTAGTTCTACTACTTGGCGTGTTGGGGGGGCAAAGTAAGGCACCTGCAAGCCTTTCTAACGCTCCAAGTAGCGCAGCGGAACCTTTCAACTATTCAGAGCACAGACCACTGTTGCGCGAACAGGCATTGCATAGGGAAGCACTGAGCATGTTTTCAAAATCCAGCGATGCCACGCACGCACAACGAACACTTACCACTCTGCACACCGCACTGCCCGTGCCCTGCCCCGCCCTGCGACACGCATGCCAGCACATACTCTCGCATGTCTCCAGGACGCGCTGAGATTGGCACATGAACTGAAGGGTTCTGGTTCTTTGTCAGTGTTTTCTACCTTCTCCAGTCACCTGATTCAAAGGGAGCGAATCTTTGTTTAAGCGCTGCTTCTCTTCAAGCGAATGTGTGAATTCAAGCTGGTTTGCTAGTTAGCCGCTGAACTTTGACTTAGGCACCTAGCTAGCTGGTTCGCTATGTAGCTAGTTAGCTTGGCTAGCTTGGCTAGTTAGTTAGGTGGGTAGCTTGCGCGAGAGTTGACCGCGTTCGCAAAGGATAGAGGGTTTACCATTTGATGGCTGCGCAGCTGAAGAATGCAAACGAGCTCTTGACGGTTAACCCCAAAAGGCTGCGAACGGTCACGCGAGCAATTTCAATAACGCAAAAACCAAAAGCAAGAGTTTTCGTTTGATAGTTGTGAAGTGCGCGCGGCCGTAGCAGCACCGGTTCCGGCAGAGTTTTTTGTGCGGCCGCGAACAACAGCAAAGCCGCAATCAGTTCCAGCAATTACTGCGTGCGTGTGTGTGTGTGTGTGCTCAAGTGCACATCGTGCTTGCCGGGAAGACCAAGCCGGGACAGCTTCAACTTGCAGATCCACACCGCACGTGTCGCAGTAAGCTCGGTTGACTATCATCTTGTTGCTATCTCTGTCGAGCAACTATTTGTTCACAAACCCATCTGGTCGTCGATCTACGACTTGTTGCTATTTCTAAATGTGTTCAGTTGTGTGTCTAGCTATTTCTCGGGAAAGCAATTTGTTGTATAGATATGTCTAGAGAGGCATCTAATGGTTGCTATACCTATGCATCTTGTTCACCGCCTGTCTGGCAAGCCTGTGTGTCATGTGCAGGTGCTCTAGACTTTCTCATGAGCTATCTAGTTACTGATTGACATCTATATGCATTTGTCCAGTTGTTGGTTGAAGAACGTGACAAGAACCAAAAAGCAAAACGAGTTGTTGCACGTTGACCCCCCAAACATGCGCAGAGGGCTGCAAGAGCCAAGTGCAACAGGGTTCGAAACCGCGAGCTTTTGAAGCTGAAATGCCCGAAGGGAAACATTGTTAGGTCGACCTGCCCAAAGTGCACAGGGGGTTTCGCTGGCAAAGTGGAAGAACAGAGAAAACACATTCTTGAAGAGCGACCCGCCTAAGCTGAGCAGACTATTCAGCGTGTGGTTGCGACACAGTGCGCACCGGCGTGAAAATGGTCCGTTTGCGCACCGCACCCGCAGCACGTGGCCGAGGTTGGATGAGAGCGCCAGGGTCATAGGCCCGTTTGAGCGAAGCAATTTGTCGGGGGCTCCCGGTCAAGACATCGCGTTGGATTCATTTTAGCTCCCGGGTAGCAGGATGGACAACATGGGAAGCCCTGCAGTTGTATGATTGTTTCCCTTCCCCGTGGCCGCACGAAACAACTGCGCGGAGCACGTTCAGGAGTCTTGACTAGCTGCGCGGATGCGCGATGCCAAAAAACCGGTAAGAAACGAGCCATATGTTGCCATGATTTGGTATGAGACACAGGTCGCTCAAGCCCAGCATGTTCGTTTGTAAGTCGAGGCAGTCGCTGGCAACTTCAAGTCGAGGCTGAGGGCCTCAGAGCACATCCCTTGCTCTCTTTGTGGATTGTGTTTTCTGATCAGGGGCCTGCGCTGCTTGAGCCGGCCGGTCAAACCAATTTCTACTATTCGCTTAGCCAGTGCTTCGCTTGTTGCGATGCAAAAGCCTGAACGCCAGTTTCTGGACTGGAAAGTTTTTGGAAGATCACCCATCTTCTCAGGAACTGGGTTTCATGAACTTATAACTTATAACCCATCATTGAATCATCCGAGTTATTGGCAACATTGAGCCAGCCTATCTTCAGCGACGCAGTTACGAAAGATTCAGCACCCATGGACAGATGTGCAGAGCCTTTTGCTGCTGCATCTATCGCAGGTCAAGACAGATTTGAGAAACATTGTGTGCCTGGGATGTCCCAAGGGTCCGTAAGCATTCTTTTGTTTGCAGGGAGAGGGGAGCTTGCAGGGCTCTTCTTCGACTTTGCCCTGGTGCCACCCAGCACGACGCCGCTGACGTGTGCCGTGCCTGGCGCATAGACTCAGTCCAGCAGAGGTCCAGCATCCACTGGGCACCTGGCCCCCATTGCTTTCAATCCAAAAAGGCCGCCTTTTGTGTTACAAGCCACTTGCCACTGAGCAGAGGCGTCGAAATGGACCGCTTGTCAGCCAGAGGCCTGTGATGGAGAAACCTGTGGTGGCAGCTGTTCCTTCACAAAAGTTCTGGTTCACGGAAATGAGGATAGAATAAACCGACACAGTTGTTCCGACTTGCAATCTGGCAGTCGGATGGGTATTTTTTCTGCCCTCAATCAATTTGCTTAAGGCCAGGGCCGTTCGCATGGTGTTGTGTGGGCACACACGGGTTCGCAGATGTTTTTTTCCACTAGGGGGTTGCGTGCTTTGTTGTCGGTTGTGAAACCCAGGTCATGAAGAATGGCGCATTTGGGATGACAAGGATTTGTACATTGTGCTCAGTGCTGTTCTCAGCATGCTGTAGGAAACGCTGACGATGTCAGCGGCGTGACTGCTGTGCCAAATGAACGTCCCAAAAAGTGATCCAAGGTCAGCCCCAACTGGTGGTTCGGTGGTTTGGCGTTTTGAACCCCAGATTCTTGTACAGGATTCATGGGAAACCACCCCTTACTTCCAAACCACCAATTAGAGGGCTTCAGGGTGAAAGCTCCGCTTTTGGAGCCCTAAACGTACCGGTGTTTCAATGGGCAGCGTGCCGTCCTGACCCAAAGCTACCGTCTTGCGCCAGACGCAAGAAGCCCCCACGGCATCTACCCTGAGAAGCAGGGAGAGAGTTGCAAATGTTTTTGTTTGCGCGGACGGACATCTCTTGAAGGTTGGTTCTTTGCGTCTTTTGCCTTTTCAATGCCCAAGAAGAGGTGGGATTTTGGATCAGCACATGTCCAACTCGTCCCAGGCTGCGCCTGCTGCTGCCTTTGCGCCGCCGCCCGCCTCGCCTTGCGAGCGGCCGGGCAGCCAGTGGTTTTCACCCTCTGAGTCCCTTGCTGGGTGCCATCTTGTTGGAAACTAGGTCCCCCAGTAGTGCCCTTTTACCCTTTTTGGGAGGGTTGCCCCACTAAAATGGATTACAGAAAAAGGGTACCCTTAACCTCTCTACTGGAGGACCTAGGAAAGGTGCATCCGGAAATCGGTATTGTCACCGGTGTTTATCTAGGGGGATGGGCCAAGCTTTTGAACTGAGTGCCAGAAAAGCCGCTATCATGCTGCGGCATTAAAGTTGTGGGAACACCTCCAAAATCGTTGGTGGACGTGAATCCCCATGAAAGTCATGATCCCCCAAAGGGCCCCAGCAACTACCCCAGTGCCAACAACATGTCCAAGCGGCAGCTAGTTTGCCTTCAAGGCGCGACTGCGGCTCGGAAGGGTTTAGGGTTGAGTAGGACATTGGGTGACACTGTACGAGGTTTCTGTGTGGCAAAGCCCCCCAGGATGCCATGTTCCATCCAGGTGGGATTGCGAGTCACGGAGAGGTTTCTTTCCGCCGGCTGCCAGCCGTGGGAATGTTTTTGGCTCAGAGCCGACCCTAAACAACATGCTGCTAAGGAAAGCACCGGCATTTGATTCAAAGCAAGCTGGGTTGACAAGATTCCTGATTGAAGCCGGTGGTTCAGTGGCATGTTGTTTCCTGTTTCTCTGGTGAAGAAATGGTCAACCCCAAAAGGGTTGGCACCACGTAGCCTGCTTGAAGGCTGCTCCACCCGCACATGCTCTTGGCAAGTTCGGTGCACCAGTAGAACCGGGCACTGGTTCCAATGGCACGCAGGTTGTGGCATGAGCATGCAAGGAAACAAAGTCCCTGAAGTGGGCATGTCTCAACTACCAAATGAAATCCTCAAGATTGCCTGTTTTATCTTGTGGATTAGAAAGGAATTGAAACCAGCGGGACCCAAACATATTTTGCGAAGCCTTCGCAAGGCTCACGCCGCACTAGGCTGGCGAGCCTCCGCCCTGGAGGATGTCTTCAAGTTCGGGCCAGCCATGGCGAGAACTTGGCTGGACGCTGCGCCTAGGAAGCACGAAAGAGGTCCGGCGGGTCGAAGGGCATCAATTCGCAGCCAGCCTCTTTTTATGTTCTTTTGGCCCTGAGGTGATCAACAAGCGAATCACTATCACTATTCGAGTTCTTGTTTCTTGGTGGTCTCCGTCTCGCAAAACTATCGTCTGGGAAGTAAGTATTTCAACTAGCTGAGCTCATATCACGCGCGGGCCACAGCCACACCCACACACCAACACCTCGCACCCGCACGCGCACGTGCACGCGAAAGCGCACGCGAAAGCGCACACTCAAGCACTCGCGCGCACCCACGCACCCATACTTGCACGCTCACAACCGCCCACGCAGACACACCACACACCCACACATCGCCCATTCATACACCCAACCTCCCTCTCTCCCTCCCTCCCTTTATCCCTCCCTCCCTTCCATCCTTACTTAATTACTCACACTCACTTACAGCCCTTGAGGGGGCAACTGCTGGCTGCAGAACGTTTCAGGTGAAAGGCCCTTCTTTGTGTTGTGTTGCCTGAGACGTGTGCGAAGCAGCCCATCTGAAGCATGATGCATGGGCGGAGGAGGGTACGTGAAGCAACTCTCTTGTTTGGGTCATCCCCTTTGCTTACCTTAAAGGACATCTGGTGTTCATTCAGAAAGACGGCTAACCGCCCTTCCATTTGGAGTAGCCTGGAAATTTTGAGAACCCCCAATTTGGGGGTCACGCCAGCCCAAGCCTCCAGGTTGCGCTGAGAGGACGCTGGCTCACACAGAAGCAAAGAGCGCCGGGTGGTTGTGATTTTCAGGATGACTTTTCGTTTGTGCTGAGAAGGAAACCAAAAGGAAAACCACATTTTGTTTGTGGGCCCCTATTTTTTTGTTTGTGGGCCCCTATCTCGACCGAACCTTGGCGAGCCCCCGTGCAAACTGGATTTGGAGATGCGGTCCCATCCAAAAGGCAATTCCACCGGTCAAACACGTTTATGTAGGGGATTTGGGCGGGGGGTAGAAGGTACTATGTCTGGCATCATCAATGCATTTGCCTTTATGGCGAGCTAAGTGTGCCCGCCCATTTCCAAGAACAATCGCTCAACTCGGGAATGCTCATGTCTCATGTTCAGTCGACGGTGCTTTCAAAGGCTGCCGTTTTGCGCGTTTGCTGGTGGTTTTCGAGTTATTGCTCGTGGTGGTCGAGTTATTGCTCCTGCCGCCGCAGCTGCTGCTGATGCCACTGCTGCTCCGGTTCTTGAACTTGTACTTGTGTTTTTGTTGCTGGGCCCAGTGCTGGTGTCGTCTCGCATTGGCTTAAGGGTTGGAGGGTCAGAGAAGCGCACACCAAGGCAGCTGACGGTATTGCGCATTGGAGGCCCACAGGGGCGAACGGAGAATGCCAGAGACACAGCACAACTGACAGATGGGTCATTCAATTTACAAGTCGAGCAGCCTCGACTGAGACAACGGACTTGTTGCATAGCTCGCTGGTTGACACGGAAGTGAAAACAGTTGGGGAAGGCGCATGTTCACAGTCTAACCAGCCCACTCTTGGCAAGCTGTTCTGCCCAGCAGCAGCTGTATATACCAGCCCATAGGGAGTCCTATGCCGGGTCATGGCGAAGAATTGCCAGCATCTGCCGGGATCCTAATGTGCCAGAGGACATCCCCAAAAAATAAAGTGTTTCTTTTTCTGCTCCTTCTTGTCAGACTGATCAAATGAAGAGTGGCGCATGTTCAGTGTCATGAATCCAGCGAATCTGCCGTCAAAGGGGCAGATGGATCTACTGATCTACCTGGAGAGTTTAAAGGGCTCATCCTTGAACGCTCCGGATTCCTCATTCCACTGATTCCCATTCAATGAATCAAAGTTTTTCCTGCAGATCCTTTGAACCTGGGGAAACGAGCATGTTCCCTTTCAGACCGGTGGGCTAGCCGCTGCCCCAAAGGCAACCTGAAGGGCTTTATGTAGCTTTGAAACCAGGCACTGCAACGTGCCACCACTGATTGCCCCTAATTAGTTTAAGGGCCACCCCCCTTCAAGAGAAAATCAACATTTCGCGGCTCCCTCAACAAATTTGAGAGTTTGCAGGGGCAAGCCAAGGGCGGCGTTTGAATTAGGAAGCAGCTTTGTTGTTTGATAAGAGTGGCTGGGATGAATCAGGTTTTGCTTACTAGGGGGCTGGCCCTTGAAGCGGGTAAGCCTTTGTGACCTTTTTTGGAACAAAGACATGCAAAGGAATCTGAGGCTTCGAGGGCTGTGTTTTTTGGGAACCCTGCCAGGTTTGCAGGGCAAGCAAGAAAAGAGTGGCCTTTTAGTTTGTGAACTTAGTACTTGCCGGCTGCTTGTTTAGGGTGGGAGGTGGCAAGGGAACCTTTAATTGGGGGGTTGTGGGGAGACCCCAAAAATGATTGGCTATGTGCCTGTTTTGCCTAGCCTTGGTGGCACCTTCCGCATTGGTGGGAATGTTGGAGGCAAAAGGGGAAAGCTTTAATCGGGGAGTTTACTAATCATATGCAGTTTCATTGGAACCCACCTGTAAGGTGCTTGTGCATAGGATGATTTCTTCTCAAAGAGGGCTGCCCCCCGTCATCGAGGCGCGTTCGCCAAAGTTGAAGCGGCGCTGGTTGGAGGTGGAGCCGCCCAATTCCCTCGAGGCGGGCTGGCCCCTGATGTCTTGGCTGCTATTTGGGGGTGTCCTTTTTTGAGGGTAGCCCTTCTTTGGCTGTTTTAAAGAAAGCACAGAGGGAAACCACCAATTAGGGTCCCCTTCAAAAACAGCAAACAGAGTGTCTCACGTTTTGCGCAGGGCAATTGAGCCATCTAGATATTATGGATGGTATCCGGTATCCTCGCGAAGTTTTGGAGACACATGTGTCCCCAAGCTCGGAACCAACTGACAACATGTTCAAAGGTTGAGGAATCTGCCCAGTTTTTGCACAGTCCTCAAATGGAGGAGCCCGAAATGTTGCCTTTGGTTTCTCTTTAGAGCAGCCCCAAGCTCGCAAACCCTGCAAAAGGAAACATCCCCCGGTTGGCCTGAAACATGAACCCTTGTTGGTCGTGTTGGTGACGGTTCGAAAAGACAGCAACATGATACCAACTCTGGCTTGGGACAGGCACGTTCTGTGTGTGCGCGCACACGTGTTTTTGTGTGGTTCTTTGGTTCTGTCTTTCTGTGTGTGTTTGTGTGTGTGTGTGTGTTTGCGTGTTTGCGTGTTTGCGTGTTTGCGTGTTTGCGTGTTTGTGTGTCTGTGTGTTTGTGTGTTGGTGTGTTGGTGTGTTGGTGTGTTGGTGTGTTTGTGCGTTTGTGCGTTTGTGTGTGTGTGTGTGGGTTTGTGAGTTTGTGGGTTTGTGTGTTTGTGTGTTTGTGTGTTTGTGTGTTTTTGTGTTTGTGTGTTTGTGTGTGTGTGTGTTTGTGTGTTTCTGTATTTCTGTGTTTCTGTGTTTCTGTGTTTCTGTGTTTCTGTGTGTTGTGTGTTTGTGTGTTTGTGTGTTTGTGAGTTTGTGGGTTTGTGGGTTTGTGTGTTTGTGTGTTTTTGTGTTTGTGTGTTTGTGTGTGTGTGTTTCTGTGTTTCTGTGTTTCTGTGTTTCTGTGTTTCTGTGTTTCTGTGTTTCTGTGTGTTGTGTGCTTGTGTGTTTGTGTGTTTGTGTGTTTGTGTGTTTGTCTGTTTGTGTGTTTGTGTGTTTGTGTGTTTGTGTGTTTGCCTGGTTGCGTGGTTGCGTGGTTGCGTGGTTGCGTGGTTGCGTGGTTGCGTGTTTGCGTGTTTGCGTGTTTGCGTGTTTGCGTGTTTGCGTGTTTGCGTGTTTGCGTGTGTGCGTGTGTGCGTGTGTGCGTGTGTGCGTGTGTGCGTGTGTGCGTGTGTGCGTGTGTGCGTGTGCGTGTGTGCGTGTGTGCGTGTGTGCGTGTGTGCGTGTGTGCGTGCGTGCGTGCGTGCGTGCGTGCGTGCGTGCGTGCGTGCGTGCGTGCGTGCGTGCGTGCGTGCGTGCGTGCGTGCGTGCGTGCGTGCGTGCGTGCGTGCGTGCGTGTGTGTGGTGCGTGTGTGTCTGTGTGTGTGTGTGTGTGTCTGTGTGTGTGTGTTTCTGTGTTTCTGTGTTTCTGTGTTTGTGTGTTTGTGTGTGTTGTGTGTTTGTGTGTTGGTGTGTTGGTGTGTTGGTGTGTTGGTGTGTTGGTGTGTTGGCGTGTTGGTGTGTTTGTGCGTTTGTGCGTGTGTGTGTTTGTGCGTTTGTGTGTGTGTGTGTGGGTTTGTGAGTTTTCGGGTTTGTGTGTTTGTGTGTTTGTGTGTTTGTGTGTTTTTGTGGTTGTGTGTTTGTGTGTGTGTGTTTGTTTGTGTGTGTGTTTGTGTGTTTCTGTGTTTCTTTGTTTCTGTGTTTCTGTGTTTCTGTGTTTCTGTGTTTCTGTGTGTTGTGTGTTTGTGTGTTTGTGTGTTTGTGTGTTTGTCTGTTTGTGTGTTTGTGTGGTTGTGTGGTTGTGTGGTTGTGTGGTTGTGTGGTTGTGTGGTTGTGTGGTTGTGTGGTTGTGTGTTTTGTGTGTTTGTGTGTTTGTGTGGTTGTGTGGTTGCGTGGTTGCGTGGTTGCGTGGTTGCGTGGTTGCGTGTTTGCGTGTTTGCGTGTTTGCTTGGTTGCTTGGTTGCGTGGTCGCGTGTTTGCGGGTTTGCGGGTTTGCGGGTTTGCGGGTTTGCGTGTTTGCGTGTGTGTGTGTGTGCGTGCGTGTGTGCGTGTGTGCGTGTGTGCGGGTTTGCGGGTTTGCGTGCGTGTGTGTGTGTGTGTGCGTGCGTGCGTGCGTGTGTGTGTGTGTGTGTGTGTGTGTGTGTGTGTGTGTGTTGGTGTGTTGGTGTGTTGGTGTGTTGGTGTGTTGTTGTGTGTGTGTTGTGTGTTTGTGTGTTTTGTGTGTTTGTGTGTTGGTGTGTTGGTGTGTTGGTGTGTTGGTGTGTTGGTGTGTTGGTGTGTTGGTGTGTTGGTGTGTTGGTGTGTTGGTGTGTTGGTGTGTTGGTGTGTTGGTATGTTGGTGTGTTTGTGTGTTTGTGTGTTTGTGTGTTTGCTCACAGGGCCTCTCACAGACGCTCCTTTGAATAAGACGATTTGAGGGGCTCAAGCTTCCCGTGCTTCTTGTTGACTGAGTATTGGCGGGGCCCGGGCGGCTGGTGGTATCTTAAAAAATTGCACTGTTGGAAAACGATGTTCCTTATATGAGTATATACTCCTGTTAATCTTTGGCAAAGGTCCAACATGATTCTAGATTTGTTGGTCGCGCTTCGTTCTAGTTCAGGTGCTGCCGCCAACCCCTTTTATGCTAGACATTACTCAATCTTCTCGAAACAGATGCAGATGAGGCTACGGAGCGGCTTTCTACTTTTAGTCAACGGGAGCGCAATTTTTCTTGGCTCAACGCCATGGTGATGCTGGTGGCGTCGGCCATTTGAGCCTGTCCCAGGGTGGAGGTGCCCAAAAACCCTTTCATAATATTCTCCCAAGCCAAATGCGTATGAGCTCCCAGAACAGTGCAAAACAGTGCAGGCACCAATGCCTGCCGTAAGAATCAGGTCCTGTATAGACGCAACGAAGCTTACAAGGCAACATCCCCGGCCACCGTGCATGTTCTAGGTGGTCCACCCTTCCCAGGCACCTTTGCTTGGATGAAGGGGTCGGCAGATACGCATAAACCGAAGACGCCATTTGCTTCAAGATGGGCCAACTGCTTGCTTACTAGGCAAGCAAAGGGAGCAGGCTTTTTTTTGAAAGTGCGTTGCCATGGCCTTTGGCCAGGTCACCTTGGCAAATGTCGCGCACCTCGAGCTTCTCGGCCGCAATGGCGCTCACGCCAGGGTTTTCCAACGCGGCCGGAAGAACTCAACCACAACAACGATGGTTGAGGTATGGGTGTGTATTGTTTTGAGAGTACCCTGTGTTGGGCTGGTTTAATGGACAACAAAGGGACGCACGCCATTTGTTGGGCCGTTCTAGCTTGACATATGCCCACTGTCCAAAGTAGACGCAGCTTTTGCAATATTGGACAACAGCTTTTGGCGCAAGCACGCCCAGCGTCATGCCCATTTTTGGGTCAGACTAGTCAGTCATTCAGTTGACAAAGGCCTTAGGCCTTGGGCCGTGCTTTGCAACGACTGATTGAAATGTCGCAAGGATGTAGTGTGTTGACGATGTAGCGCAAGCGGATATCGCACACTGTTGCTATTATTGTCCTTATGGTAAGCCAAGCAACACGGGGCTTCAGTGCATCAGGGCTGGTGCTGCTCCAATTCAGGCCTTTGCTTTTGCCACACTTATATAACGCCTTTCAGTGCAGGTTTTTTCGGCGCCATTGGGCCGTGCCCCGAACGTTGGCAAGCCAAAACGGGATGGTTCCCGATTTGTTTTTGTCCCGGCAAATCAGCAGCGCCCTGATGTGCCTGAACGGCGGCACGCCTCCCAACTTGACCAGACTTAGGCCCGCGAGAAGCTCTAACTTTGGCTGGCTAAGAAGGGAAAGCAAGGAGCCCCAAAAGTGTAAAGAAAAGAAAAAGCAAACGGGCTTGGCTTGTCTCCAACACATCGCCATTGCTGCTAATCACTGCAAGCTTGTCCAATATCTTAGAGCTTTTTGCCCCAGCAGCAGCAGCACCGACTTTTGGCAAGGTGATGCTTGCACATTTGCAGAGAGAAGGAAATGCGCGTATTCGTTCACATGCGTCGTCTCAGAGTATCAGCGAGTCGTTGCAAAGGGTTGTCTTGTTGAGCTAGCTGTCTTCTGCTTTTCTGGATTGCATTCCGCGCAGGGCTGACCTTTTCGTCGCAGCGGGAGATGAAGATGTCGCCAAGATGATGAGCAGGACAGGTTGCATCGCCCAAGTCGGAAATAGTTCTCATCTAGCCTGAACATTCCCGGCAACACGTGTCATAGATGACAAGAACCGCCACAGCTCGTGGAAAGCCCCTGAGTGTCACAGCTGCAAAGCCTCCACCATTGTCATGCTTGGCGTCACCTTCAGAATTGGAGTGTTCAGAGTGGGCAGTTGAGGAACCCGCTCGGTGACCTCCTTGTTTGGGGTTCAAGCCGTCGTTGGCCCTTCCTTGCCGCAGTTCGATTTAAATCTCCGAGGATCTCCGAGGATCTAGCTGTAGGATCTAGCTTTGCATGGAGCAGTGAGCAGTGGGCTCTGAATCTCGCTTCAGAGCTAGGCATGCAACAACAGAAGCACATCGCAGGTGTGTGGCATTTCTCGTACGTATTGGGCATGCAAGTCTCAACCTACGCATCCAAAGCCGCCCGAGGGAAGACGGGCCCTTCAAATCTCCAAACATGCATTTGGGGCTTCAATTGGTTGCTGACCCTCCAGTGGTACATGCTTGCTCCTGCACATTCAGCACCACGCATTGCATGATGTTCCTGTCTCATGTTTGTCGCGACAGGTTCTCACTTGTCTGTCAGAGCTAGCAATTCAGGCTATGGGTTTTAGATAATTGGTACGGGGGCGTCCCTCCACAATGTCATGAAGGTTGGCAACATATGCCCAAAACGTATTCCGCAGTTTTCAGGCAGCTTCAAAGTGCGAACTTGTCAGGCTGCAATTTGGCCGAGGCCCATTGTGGTTCTTTCAGTGGCTCAAATCCCAACATGAGATCCCAACTTCCACTCTCAAGCTATTATTCGGGGACGAACCTCCCGTCCCGTTGCCCTTGGCATTTGCAGGCCGTACACTCCGTACACCAGCTCCATGGGCGAGAGCACGCTCTTTCCCGAAAGCTGTAGCCACTTCACGTCCCTCTTCAGCCGGCCCTCTACGAGCGTTTGCTCATGGGGCCGGGCGACCAGCAGGACGGGAGCTCTTTGACACACGGCCTGCGCGCTTTTATGAGCCCCATGGTCGGGCCTGGGCGGTTGGCAACTTGAGAAATAACAAAGGCCGTGTTTTTTGGAATGGCTTGCGGTGTGAAATTGAACTAAGAAAGCCAAGGTGGGCTTGAAATGCTCGAGTAAAAGCTTCTTGACCGCTTCGAAAGTCTAGGAGTCGTTTTCTTTCAGCCGGGGATGTTCAACACATGCGTACGGGTAAGGCCGTGCCGCTCTGCCAGCGCTTGAACATAAGAGTAGAATCAAATATGTGACATGCAGTGCAGTTGTCAAGGCATGGGAGTTGTGAAGAGGCATGTTCCAGAAGCTTCCAGGGCGGAGAACCTGCAGATATTCAGATCAAAGGAAGCCATGGAGCCAATTTCCGTGCGCGCCACGCTGAGCGGGCCGCTGGAGCGCTCGCCGCGCTTTGCGCCCTGCGTGCGCTGTGGGCACAGGCGGCCGCAGCGAAACCCGGCTGCACAGCAGGTTCTCCCATTGTCTCAGTTTCCATCCAATGCAAGCGGCCAGCTCGGCTCAGGAAAGCTTGCGCCCGTGTTGGGCGCTTGCATGGGCGCGGGCTTGGCCGTCGCGCGGAAAGTGCGGCGCCGGGCGACCGATGTGGAGCGGCCGTTGGAATCCCTGGTGGAGGCTGGGCGGGTTCAGCGGGTAATTAGGGAAATCATGTGAAACCCAGAGGCAAGCGAATCGACTTTTTTGACATTTGTACTTTGTCTAATGATGTTTCATGGTTGGTGAGTTGTTGGCTCAGGCCAACGTTGCTGTTTTGCTTTTTGTTCAACCTAAATGATGTGGCCAGAGTTTGTTCAACCCTCGCGGGGTTATTGCTGACCAAGGTTGACCTTTCAGGTTTTTGTCCATTGGTGACAGAATCAGCAAGGGGCATTGATTGGTGCAGGCGTTTGTCCAAGCATGACCTGTCTTCTCTACATTCTTTCAAGTAGATGCCCGTTAGGCCCGTTGCTGACGAATCATTGCCATTGGTCCCACATTGATCAGCCATGTTTTACGTGTTTGAATGAATTATATAGTTGGTTTAAAGTGTTTTTGGGGGCATGTACTTTTATCATAGCATGTTTGCTCATTGCCATGGCCAATGCGCCATTTGGCTCAAGATTTGTTTCCGGCGGAAAACTCCGCTAGCACGTCACTCGCGCCATTCTGGCGCTGCCACTGCTCTCGCTGAAAAGTGCGGCGGGCCTGGTCGGCGGCGAGGTGGTTAAGGTGGTGCTAGGTCGGGGCTATTTCTGGGAAACTGCATTGTTGCTGCTGCTCCGCTTTTGCTTGGTTAATTGCTTTGCTCGCTTGCTTGCTGCGCTCGCTTGGTTGGCCGCGCTGGTCCCCTTTCCTGTTTGGGTTTTGCGGTTAAACAGGATTCCCCGTTTGTTATCTGTGTGGTTCATTGCCAGCCGAGGGCACCACTTTGCCCTTGGGACTGGGGGGCTTAAACTGTCTCTTCTTGTTGGTGGATTAGGGCCTGTTTATTCTCTCCCGAAATACTGTTTCAAACCCTTTCGCAGGTTATCAGCCGTAGGATTCGTCCTCGGTTGGCACCGCGAACCCCTTTTTAACAACCCTGCAGGCGCTGTAGGTTATTGTATATACGATGGCAGGAATCACTGAGGATGGACCTCACGTGGTGACTGATGAATGGGTTCTCGGCCAGGCCGGAATCTTGGACGTTGTGAATGACGACCAGGTGCCCGGACAGCCGATGTTTTCCGGTCCTGATTTTTTGTCGGACCACACTTTTTCCGAAGCAATGCCTTCAGGAAGGTCCAGTGCTACTCGCACTGATGACCTATCACTCGCACTGATGACCTATCGTCTAATGCCTCAAGAGCTAATCGCTCTCAGGGTCATGGGGCTAATCGTCCTGACCATGATGATTCCGTCTCAGGACGTGATGATGACGAGCCCGGTATTGCACCTGGAGCTCAATCCTCATCTTTCCCGGAGCTGATGAATATTGGTCAGTCCGAGTTTCGTGACTCTCGAAGTAGCAGTAGACCTGTGCCAACCAGTAGTATAGTTTTTCAAGCGCTCGGTAATCCCGAACCCGGTACATCCAGTGGAGTTGCATTTGATGTTCATCTGCCAGCCGATATCGGTAGGTCAGATTGGATGGCCTCATGGCCCAACGACGGTAATATTTTTGGCATGGATTTCAATACATGGATGCCAGGGCCACCCGCCCCATCATCTTTCCCGCAGTTTCAGAGCCCAAAGCGGACTGCTGGAAACGAGGAATTCATGCTACCCTTGTCCATTGAAAATCTCAATCCTGATGTGGCCAGCCGCAATGTCAGGCCAAGGCCATCGGTAAACCCGACAATGAGGAATATGTCCCATCCCCCAGGACTTTCAGGATTTGAGAGTCCAAGGGAGCGAAACATTGTAGATAGGTTGGATTTGCATCCCAGTCCTACGCCAAGCAAACGGTCTAGGTCAGACTCGGCCAGCTCGCATAGGGCTAGAAGGATGGATCGAGAGACCGCACACAGGGGAAACCCCAGTGTGCGGGGCTCAAGACGTGGTCACTCAGGCGATCCCGCGTCGATTGTCGGTAGGGATCCGCTAAACGCGGACACGTTGATTAACGTGCTTGATGGGATCGAAGCATTCCAGGAGGAATTCAATAGGTCGAGTGGCCCGAATGTACAGCCTGTTCGCCCTACGCCCAATGCGGCTTCCTTTCTCGCCATTGACAACACAGACGGAGCTGATGTTCCGATTGAGTCTGAGTCCATGATGGCATCAAGTTCCAATCACAACAACACCGTCAACAGCGCAACCGATGTTGAATCAATGTCTGAGTCTAGAGCGTCCAATGCGACTGATTTGCATGACGTTGTCATTGCCGATATGAAGCCTGAAGTTCCTATGCGGACTGATAGGCCAGTAGTTCCCAAATTGTTTGTGACAAAGGGTCTAGGCATGCCACAGCCATCAGCGGTTCGTGATGCCAGAAGATCTGCACCGTATCAGAGTCAGTCTCCTAATCGGAGCGAATTCCCACGGCCATCAACGGCTGTACAAGATGATTTCAGGACACCTCCGAGATCTAATCCGATCATGGTTGATTTGTCCACTCCTCGAGATCGCGGATCAGGATTTGGTCCTGCGAGTGAGGAGCAACCCAACGAGGTTGCTGATCTTGTAACAGCCCTTGAAAGAGGGAGAGTGGACTCTTCGGTAAGTGCGATCATTCATCGCCTGGTTGCTAAGGTCGAAGACCTTGGGCGTAGGAATGATAGAAGTGATCAATGCATCAAGCAGCTCTCCACTGAGGTTAACTCGTGGAGGGCCAAATACGACCAATGCGTCCATGTGAGTAGCACGTGTACGCAGGCTGCGAACGCGGCCATGCAGCTGTCACAAGGGACTAAGGACATCGTGACCGAGCTTGGCCAACGCGTCAAGATCGTTTCCAATCGCATGACAAGCATAGGCGATGCCCTAAATGAGCGAGCCAGCTATGATGATGTTGCTCGCTCCATCACCCAAGTTCAAACTGTTTTTGAATCTCTTTCTGATCGAGTAACCGGGCTTATAGCTCGTGTTGATGCGATCGAGAGATCTCTAGTGGAGAGCCAATCCAACCATCCTGCGATTGGTGGAGTAAACCTCAAAATCGAGGACCTGTCCACTAGGGTATGTCAGATTGATAGGATGATGCAAGATGTCGAACAATGCTGGACCAATAATAGGGACGGCATAAAGTGGGTTAAAGACCAACTTTATGAGACACAAGCCAACCTTGAGATAAAGTCAAGGGACTGCAAATCCTACACGGACAAGCAAAATACTCATAACATGGCCGTTTCGACTACGCTCAACAGTAAGCTCGAGCAAATGCTCGAGGTGCTGGGTAATACGGCCCAGAGAATTAACTCCCTCGAGTCAAGGCACTCGAACCAGGCATCAAGTAGTGGATTGAACGATCGCACAGGAGGAAGGCGTGCCGCGTCCCGTACTCCGGATAAGCGGCCACCTCCACCTGGCCCTCCTGATGATGATCCTCCACCACCTCCTCCTCCAGATCGGCAAAGCCCAGGAGGAGGGGGGAAGAAGAATGCCGCCGGTGGGAACCCTGGCGACCCTGGTAAACCCAGGTGTAAATACGTAGGTGATGGAAATAATCACCTCATGGCTGAGTTTCACTGCAAAGGATGCAGAGGTGATATTTGTGAGTATTGTTTCTCGTTCAAAGAGAACTTGTGTGAAGGATGTTCCCGTAACGGACCCCGATGCGGTGTCTGTAGGGAGAGCTCGTTCCTGACCAAGGGAATTGAGTGTCAGTTTTGTAGGACCTACTACTGCACCAGACATTCTGCTGGGCAGGATGACTACAGGAGATTTGGATTTGTCCAGGGTCCCTGTTGTCTTGCGTGCCTTAGGGACGAAACTAGGAGAAGAAGGGATCCCGATGGTAACCGTGTCAGGAATAGATCTCCTGGAGGCGCACCTGAGACGAACCCGACGCGGTCGTACTCGCCGCCTCTGCGGCCACCCGTTGACAGATTCCATGACATTCCCACTGGGGGTCAACCCAACGCGGCTGACCTTCAGAGTCCTCCGAAGGTTACGCAACCCGTGCCCCTGGATAAACGTGAAACCGGATATTATCCAGGATTTGATCCCAACGGTACAAGGCCGAAGGATTCTTCAGGCCTTGAGCCGCCGACCATGCGTGGCCCCGATCCTCCTGACAAGAACTGTCGGATGTGTGATCGGGATATTCCTGACCCCAGCAAAATTGGGGAATGTAGGATATGCATGAAAAAGGCATGTGAGATTTGCATCCCGAAGGCTACTCGCCTTTGTCCTGTATGTGCACTGTCAATCAGTAGTTCTCAGGTTCCACAGCATCTTTTCGGAACTGGTGGCGGCGGATACAGTAGCCACCATGATCCGAACTGTACAGCTGCGACTAAGTGCATTCCTATAGACCTCCCGCCAGAGCCCGACGCGGCTGGGCTGAGGGTATGGATAGCCAATATGAAGGAAGCTGTTAGCAATGCCTACAGCTATGATGGACTTTACGTCATCAATTGGCTAACTGAAGTCGAGAAGGCAAAGACCTTTGATGAACTGGATGGGGAATGTAAATACCACATCCTTGAAGCCAGGTTCAATGCAGCCATTCGGAAGTGCATCAAGACTGTTGCAATTATCGATAAGATTAATCGTCTCACCGAAGCCGCTCAACGTTCCAACAATCGCATCAAGAGTAGGCAGATCCTGTGGCTCTTATACGACCACTTAAGGACTGCAAATATCGGAGAGCAATCATTCAGGATAATTGAGCTCTCAAACTTGCGATGCAGTGTTTCATCTTTCTATACTGAAGAGGAGCGACTTGAAAGGTTCATCGCGAAGTGGGATCACATCCTTGCGGGTCTCGATGAACCGCTGACCGAGCAGGTAAAGCGGTCGCTATTCAGTGAGAAGGTTAGACACCTCAACTGTTTGGCTCATGATATCAGGGAATGGGATAGGAACATATCCAACCCTGATGTTTGTAGCTATGAATGGCTTCGTGCTCGTTGTAAGAACGAAATTGACCGCTGGAGGGTTCGTAAGAATCAGGTCAATATGCACAAAGACTTTTACGAACGATCTCAGTC